CCGAATTCCAAGTTCCTTGATTTTGCTTTCCATTCCACTCCTTACCCTCAAGCTAGCCCCGCCTACCTTCCACGTCCAGGCACCAATGGGAGCTCACACAGTCCATAAAGGCCTCACAACATCCAGAGCCCAATACTTCAAGTATGGGACGGAGGGACGCTTCGCGTCCCAGCGCCCAACGATGACCAGCGACCGTTCAGGAAAGGCCAATTCCATGAAGGTTCATCAACATCAGAGCCCCTATACATCAGTATGGGATGGAGGAACGCTTCGCGTTCCAGTTCCCAATGATATCCAGCGTCGTCAAAAGTCGGGGTTCTTTTGCCTTTTAAAAAGTATTGTAACACGTGGCTTCAGTGCTCTTCCTATGAAGGAAACCCCGTACACTCAATAAAGATTTTAAAGTCCTTAGCTGTCGTTACTGGGTCATTAAAATGTGTCATATATATATATATATATATATATATATATATATATATATATATATATATATAACACCAAGTATCATCCACTACAAGTTTTAAAAAAATATATTTAAATAGGGAGTGTGCGAACTATATATATATATATATATATATATAATTGCAGAAATTGAAAAATAACCTCCCTTCTCATAAATGACAAAACTTTATTAAATATTATGCTGATTGTTTAGTTTAAAAATAGCCGGTTAGCTACGCAAAAAACCCATACATGTAGAATACTGGTAAAAAATTAAGTTTCTGGAGAGAATTTTTTCGAGTGTAATACATATTTAGGAATAGCACATACTAATAAGAAGGAGTGAAATAAGATTATATATCATTCAAAGTTATTGACAATGTTATGCTTGAAAAAAAATTTTTTAGAGATTCAAATGACATAAATTTAAATTAAGACATTTAATAATATACCAAATTCTCTTTTTGTGAAACAGGTAGTAAATCCTCACATTTGTGTTATTTTTCTTTTCTTTTTCATTTACTCTGGAGCAAGAGGAAATTTTATTTTATGTCAAGATAATTAAGTTGCAACTTACAACTTTAAGGCCGTATCACACGTACATTTTTGGTACAATTTTTTCAAGCAATTTTTCGTCCTACTGAGGGGAAAGGGTTGCCGTAAACAAAACAACATGCTCTGACGTCAGCCGCGCTCTATCTTCACATTGAAAAATTACTCACCGATTTTTCTTCTTCGGAAAACGAACATCCAAAATTATTTCTTTTATTTCGCTTGCGCTTTTGTTGATGGGCGTAAACAGAAATTCAGCACCATCCTGTTTTAAATATTATACGCCGTTAAAATAGTATAAGCCATTAAAGTATTATACGGCATATCTGATGTGTTAGATGAAGCCGCCATCTTGTTTATGACGTGGAGCGCCGAAGAACCCCATTGGCTAGAATTTCAAGCAACTTTTATTTGGAACAATTTTTTGAGCTCACTAGCAAAAAGTTGTTCGAAAGCCGTTGCAATAGCAACTGAGTAAAAATTGCACGAGTTGAACGAAAAATTGCTTGAAACGTGTACGTGTGATACAGCCTTAAAGTGCAAAATTTTTGCACAGTTATTAACATGAAATTAGGAAAAGAAATAGAAAAACCAAGATTGAGAGAATACTGAATACTATTCATTGAGTAAATGTAAATTTTAAAGATTGTATTACTTTCAGCTGATAAAAATCAATATTAAGTCTATATGAATAACAACGTACAAATATTTGTGAACAAATGTCTGCAATTTTCGTACTAATAAGTGTACTACAGCTTGGAACATATTCTAAGCAAATTGCATTTATGATACTTAACTCAACTGCCACCGGCGTATATATCCGTCTCTCTCACCCATTGCGTTTAGTGCCCTTGACGTAGATATACTTCTTTTCGAAACACTATTATTTTGCTTAAGCTGCTATCAGTAAAACTATTCCGAAGACTTTGAAGTACAATAAAATGACCTTGACAGTGTTTAAGAAAGATTTACCTATTTCAAACAAAAATTTGTTTTTATCTGTACCTTCCCCTCCCCCTCCCAAATACACTGCATACGCGTTCCTATGTAAGAAATGGTGGCACTGGAGAAAAAATCGCGTTACTTTAAATCGGCAGTTAAGGGGTTAAAAGCGCCTTTTTTCCCGCAAATATTTGCTTAAAAGTTAATTTTAAAAGGTTCAGAGAGTGGCTAAAAATATCATTCAAATAAAACTTTCTAAGCTCACGAAATTGGCTCTATTGAGAAGTTAAAAAGTTTCCGTCAATGAAGTCTGCTTTCTCTATGACGCATTTATTCTGTATCCGAGTTCTCCTTTCTTCATTAAGCTCTCAAGGAAACTAAGTAAATAATTTTACCAACTACGTGACTCAAGCCCAAGGGACTAGGATTACTTTTACCAAATGAATCTTTCTTTATTTCTTCTCGGTCTATCTAATGAACTGGACTGGTTTATTTTTCTCGTACTATCTTCCTAAGCGAGACGTATACTTGTTACCATTTGCGTCTTATCCTAAGGAATGGATTTGTTCTGGCAATTCCAATTGTCTTATTCTTTCTCCTGTATATTCTTGTAAAACAAGTCACGATTACATTGTATAACAGATATGTAAGGGAAATTTGAAAAGGCAGTCAATTCTGTTTTACTAAGATCAAAATTGTCTAAAAAACTGGGAAACCTTTATTAATTTTCATGAAATTATTCACTCTCATATTTATATTTAAGTAATTAAAACTTACATTTGTATTAAAGAGACACATTACTTTAAAAAATTTCGAAATATCGAATTTTTGTATTAGCTTATTTTAATGGTGCGACTTTTCTAAATATGTGTACTAAATTTTGTAGCTCTCTAGCCACATTATTTAGTAAGTTATTTAACTTTTCTGAAAAGTATGTGGAGGCGAAAACCGACACTGTCGAGACGTCTGTATTTAGCTCTTTTATTTATCATACTGATCTCTAGAACCTAGAATGACATTTTTTTAGGTTTTTATTTTCTCAATAAACGATCATTTAAAATGTCCACAGGCGTTTTTTGAAGTTATACTTCTTTTGGGGCGTTAGAGAAATCAAATGAGGGTAAATTTTTACGATGCATGCGCACACCGTCACGGATGCGAAAACGCTTTGTCTAGAAATATACAGAACGGGACAGATCATTCCCGCCTTCGAAATTCTCAGAAAAATATTTCTCTTCACTTCCTTGAAGAAGGGACACCGGGTTTGAACCGGAGACCTCTCGATCTGCAGTCGAATGCCTTACCACTGAGTTATACACCCGCGTCAGCGAACCTATTGCTTTGCGTTCCGTTGGAACGGATACGAAAATGCTTTGTCTAGAAATATACAGAACGGGACAAATCATTCCCTCCTTCGAAATTCTCAAAAATATACTTGTCTTCACTTCCCTGAAGAAGGGGGCACCAGGATTTGAATCGGGAACCTCACAATCTGAAGTCGAATGCTCTACCACTGAGCTATACCCCCCGCGTCAGCAAACTATTGCTTTGCGTTCCGTAGGAATGGATACGAAAAGGATTTGTCTAGAAATATACAGAACGGGGCAGATCATTCTCACCTTCCACAGTTTGCCAACCCCCCCATGTTAGTGGTCCTATTGTCTCTGTGTGGGGGTGTTTAAAATTATTTAAATCGTGATTATCTCGGTTTTGGCTGGTCCGATTGACTGAAGGTTAGTATCGTTCAACTCTGCTCATGACCACCTTTCGTCCTTGGTCCAGTTTGCCCAACTAAAGATTTTTAGAAATACTTTAATCTAATTACGCCAAAGAAGTATAACTTTTTACGTGCGTACATAAGTACACACACTTTTTATATTCTATATAAACTTTTTCGGGTTGCTTATCATAGTATGTTTGATTATTCTGAGTATGAAATAAAGATTTATGTGAATAGTTATTTTTTTAAAAAATCGTCAAAATTAGATATAGCTGGGTTTTTTTTTATATACTTGAGGACACGAAAACATTTGCAAAAATAAAACTGTCACTCGTAATACGAATTCTATGCCCAGAATTGTGAGAAACACTTCTAAGAATGTTAAAAAAGTTGTTCGAAATGGTCAAATTTAAGAAAATAATGAATATTTTATAAAATATTAAAATATTGTTTAAAATTTTAAAATTATAAAAATAATTGTTTGTTAAATAAGGGTGTTTTTTTCTGAAATGTATATTTCATATGTATTCAAATAAGATATATGTAAACACTTTCATATATAAATGTATAAAAAAGGTTTACAGAGCAATCTTATCCCCTGTAATAATAATATGTAGGTCAACATTATTTCGCCAAAGGAATAAATGTTAGATTTGATTACCCCAGGTTATAGATCTCAATATATCCGATTTCTTTTATCAATGCTGTAATATGCTTCGTAGTTATAGGCAGAAGGGTTAAAAGTTCCCGGACTGAGTCTAAAACTTAAGAAATATCACCAATTAAACAGCTAAAATACATCCTCCTTCGAAATAAGACCCTTGAGTAAATATATTTTTACATGGCTACTAAAGGTAATCGAAACATTTCTGGAATCCTTTTTTAGCCGTGTCCTTAAATTCAGCCTGCGATGAACTCTTAACCTTATCTACAGATTGGCCTTCGTTTAACATGCGGGAACGTTATGTTGACACACCCTATGCCTTTCAAGATATTTAATCAGTATCCATTGACATGTGGCCGAGGATATCCCGACTGGTTCTGCTATTGTTTGAAGCCTGTTCTTGCGTACCACCGCAGAAACCTTTTCGATGTTTTCAGCCGTACGGAAAATCAGCCGAAGCCAGAGCGTTTGTCATTTTTGACACTTTCCCTGCCTTCTCTGAAACATCAATGTCCCTGAAAAGCTTAAGTTCCTGATAATGTATCACAGCCTTACACATACTTCAAAATTCCGTAAGTCTCTGTAGCACTTTTCCCAAACGAACACAATATATAATAATCATTATCTGTTCAACAAACGCAATTTCTTTGAATTGCGGACGACTAAATGCATCCACCTACAAAACACGACGATGTCGTGAGGTACCGACAGCGTTCTTTGAAACACACTTTTCTTAGACGAGGGTACATCTTTTCCGGAGCCCCAGCGCTGTGCGGCGCTTCTTCTTCGTAATGAGTGACCTAAAAGACAAAGAAAATACAAGCGTGGCTCGAACAGCCGCTGAATAATCCCCCACAGACGGGGGAGGCAGGAGGGGGGTTAGGCGACGGAAGAGTAGCGCAAGAACAGTAACTACGTCACACCGAAAGAATGTTGGAGGCGAGGTGTTCGGCTTTCACAATGAATGACCTTGGAACGTTTTGAATCGAGAATTCGTTTCGCGTTTCTAAAACGAAATTCGCCTTTTCTAGAAAAGGGGTGGGAATCAATAACACTTTGTTATCGTAGTCGCTCTACTGCAAAATTTTCCTGATATAGGTTCAGTCAGGAACTTTTAAATTCATCTATTTTTCATGATTCTTATGTATTTGTTCAATATTTTATGTGAATTTAATCAAATGATTAATTTTGATTCTAGGAAAACATGATAAACTATTTTAAAATTACTTAAGCATTTCTAGCTATTATTGTTTATCTGGTTATTTCTTTATTGGCCTCTTTATTTTTTTTTAAAAAAAGTTGCTGTACTTTTATTTTGTCTATATAGGATTTTACAATATCTGGTTCATAAAACTCAAAGACTAATGGTATTTATGTGTAGCCTTGGAGAGTGGTATAATTAAAATACCGTGAATTCCGGCTTTAACGTGCACCGACGTATAACGCGCACCTATACTTTCAAGCTGTATTTTTTAATTTTAAGGAATAATCGCCGTATAACGTGCACCCCCTTTTTTATGAAGAAACCCGAAATGTACGTATGTAATGCCCTTATGTCTGGAGGTCATTTATTCGAAAAAATTTTTTTAAAATTTGTTACAAAACTAAATTAAAATTTTAATTCATAAGGTTTTTTCTTTCAAACAAGCAGTATTTCGATATACGCGTAGCAGTCTAAATTTTTTAATGTTCATCTCTTTTTGTTTTTAAAGTTATAATTTTTATACCTGGGATATAACGCACACTCCTAAATTTCAATCTTATTTTTTGTGTTAAAAGTGCGCATTATAAAAGCCGGATTTTACGTTAAATTATAGTTAAATAATTAAGTGAAATGGGTATAGGGAACATTTTTAATGAGTTATAGCACTGACTCTGGACTAATGTTTTTAAAAGGAAACTTTCAGTCCCAAAAGTCGTTGAAATCGATAGCGAAATGAGGGTGTGTGTGAAAAAAAGGGGTGAAAAAACCCCAGAAATCTCTATTTTTTCCTTCCGTGAAAATGTAAAAAGGGCCCAAAAAAAAAAATAGCTTGAATAAACAAAAAAAGGATGTAACTAGATACCTAAAGATGTATTTTTAAAAAGGGAAAACTTCTTGCTAAGTTGGAATAAAAACTAAAAAAAATTTTTTATGTTTTTTTTTTCCTGCTTTTTTGTTTGGGAAATTCGAAAGCAGAAAGAATCGATTTTTCTTTGGGAAAAGAAAAAAAACCTTTTTGGTGTTTAAAAAGCAATTGGGGGCGTTTTTGTATGGAAAATATTATTAAAGGTGAGATAGATTTCTTTGTGACCGAAATTTAGTTTTGCTAGCTAAATAAAAGCAGGAAGATTACGTATCAGGATTTTTCTTAAAGAAAAAAAAAACATTTATCTCTGAAGGGTGTTTCAGTCAATTACTGAAGGAAATTTCATTTTCGAGAACGTAGTGAATTTCTTTTTAGCGATTCTAGAATTTTTTAAAAAAAGAAATAATTTTTTGGAAAAAATTCGAATGAAATTTCCCAAAACCCTGATGGATATAAAATAAAAAAATTCTCCTCAGCATTTCAGAACTATGTGTTAAAAAAATAATTTATTTCATTTTTTAAAGAAATGTATGTTTCTTCCTAAAATTTTTTTTTTAAAATTACTTATAAAAAAGTATGCGCGTTATTTTTTTTTTTTAAAAAAAAAAATCTTGACATTCAAGTAGCAATTTTTTCTTTCAAAATATTACAATATATATTGATAGATAGATTTTTTTATTCTAGGATTCTTATAATCTCAAATTTTTTGCTTATTTATGAATTGTGATTAACTAATTTAATTTTATATATAACTTTTGCTTTGAAAACAATTTGAATTTATTTGGGGGGATTACCCCGGGGAATTAATGCACCAAAAAATTAGTTTTTAAAACCAGTTCTCATTCTTAAAAAGAACAAAAAGTCTTATTAACTTTTTATTTTAAAAATTTCCTTGAAAGAACACTTTGCACAATAGAGAATACACACCACGTACAATTGAAAATACAATACCAAAAAAATGGCTTTTGAAATTGTACAAATTTCAAAAAAGGTTGCAACACAAAACAGCCGGGTGAATTACATGATGAAGGCAAACAGACAAAAGGCGATTACACAAGATTTTTGTTTTATACCAGCGGGGCAAGGGGTTTATTACGTAATATTAGTTCGATTGGATAGAAAAGAGGGGACAGGGTTTCGGGTTTAGCCGATTACGATTAAGATTACAATATTATTTTAGACCAAAAATTAAAAAAGTTATTTTAAATATTATAAAGAGTTAAAAAAAAGGATACTGGGGGTTATTACATATATATATTACAAATATTAATTTTTTTGCTTTTGTATGCTTTGTAAACTTTTAATGTGTGTTGATTGTTTATTGTTTAAAGGAAATGTATTTTACTCCAAGGTTCCATTAAAAAGTTTCGATTTACTTAAAAACTTGCTCTTTGACATTTATGAGAACATATACACATTGGCAAGATCCACATTTAAGAACTCAATTTACCCCAGTTTAAAAACAGTCAAGAAACCAAGATGACTCTTGGGATAGTATTAAATATTTCTAAATTTTTCAGCACTAAAATTTTAAAATTCAGTTCTATTTAATAGGGAAGCAGCTCCCTTATTCCTAACATTTAGCTGAAAATTAAAAAAATCGTTTAAACTATTTAAAATTTTATCAGAACTATTAGACCGATTCAACAAAAAAATTGTTACTATACATTTTACAGGTTAATATAATGCAAATAAATTTTACAATAGTTATTGAATACACACATGACCTTGTGTACGATTTATCAACAGAGAAAAATCTAAAAGAAAGGTAAAAATTTTGAACAAAACTGATTTAATATGATATATTGATAAATCTAGAATCTCTTAGAATTGTATAGTTTTTATCGGGGGGTTATACCGGAATCAGTCATTTCATGGTTTCTTTCACAGTTTTTCCCCTCCTCAGCAACCCCTTTCAACCATGCATGATTTATGGTGGAGATAGGAAAATTTATATTGTTCTCCGAAGTTTAAAATATATTTAAGTTTAAGGGGACAGGAAATGACAGATGACTCTAATCCCTTCTCATTCATCTCATAAAACTAGGTTCACCAAAGAGGGTTTATAGTTGCAA